AAAACTGACACATTGGTGGACGATCTGCTTCGTATCGCCGACTTGAATGACTGGCCCTTGAAGTTAATGTAAGTAATCGTAGGAAAGCACTGTTTGTGAGGTGCTTAATTTTGCTAAAAGTTTGTATCTATCGAAACCCAGAAATCATCCGCTATGTAGGCTAGTCATTAAAGAAAACCAATTTGTTTCAGCAGACCCCGAATTTGTGATTGCTAATCAAAAATTAAGTATGGTGGTAATAGAGGTCAGAATCTTTGGTATTGATCTTCTTATTGTTTAATAAATCGTATTGATGTCAAAAAACCTTTTAACAGGACAAGCATATCAAAAATGTTTGGAAACCAAGCGGTTTCGGGGAAACACAAATTGCCGTACAGATTGTTGCCTGCGGAAGTGAGAACATACGTGCCACTAGTGAAGACGACTTTAGTGATCAAACCTTATTTGCTATGCGCGTCATCTCAACGTACGTGACATTTTACAAAGCATTTATCCCTGGAAAATATTGGGCCGAACTTTATTATGGTCTACCCAAAGAGACATCAGTTAACGTTCAAAGATGGCCAGGGCAGAATGGTAAGAAACGAGGTCTGGATTTAGTGGAAGCAGATGGGAGACGAGAAGTGCTGGGAGCATTAACTAAAATTCGCCAATTTCTTCTGCGGAATGAACGTACAATACAAAATGTGACGATGAATGATAATACAGACAGTGGTAAAGAAAAATCATCGAGTTAGTACGGATTAATTATGCTACGCATGTCATCTATGAATAGGGCATAGATTTGTATTCTCATCTTTAGAAAATTAACATGTATGCCTATAAAATTAATAAAAGCACGATTTCTTTTTATCGTGTGTGCGGAATAATATAATATTTAATAACATATATGCTACATTTTGCCTTACGAAAAATAATGCATCCGATATCTTTTATTGCTTGAACGTTACGTACAGTACATGTGCACCTGTGTAATGATGATAAGTTTTAGGTTTACTCAATAAGACCCAATTCCCGAAGATGCTCTGGAATAACTATATATGGGTCTTCGTAATACCAAACATACCTTGAAATGATCCAGTTTTCTTCGCACATTTCTTTGATCCCGTGCGTGAAAGAATTTGATATATTTTTTTTGTTGTATTGATTCAATCGCGAATCCATTATATAAACAAAAGTAACAAGAAAAAATTTTTATTTGTTAACGATCTTCTATCTTATTCATCTAATTTCAATGGCGTATCCCAACCGAGTCTAACCGCAAGAACATCGTCTACCCGCTTAGTGAAATCAAAGATCACAAAATTCCGATCGCGTAAATGTTTATCAATGATCTTGGATGCTTTTTTTGGATCATCCGCATATTGGCGTACAATTCGAATAAGATCTTCTTTGCTTCCCCCATTATTAAAGATCGCAAGATGAGTCAGATTCTCACGAATTATCTTTGGTACAGCTTGATATTTCTGGCTTACATATATTGGCGAGATATTTTGATGCCGGCCACTAATAAAGTAAGGAATAATTCGTTCTTGAACTTTTTTTGGTTCGGCACATAGATCCTCAAATACGGCAACTGTACTTCTCTCCGGAGAAAATTTAGTTATATCTGGAATCTTATCTGGTGTTATTGTTTTAAATGTAACATCCTCTCGATATGGTTTTGGGCCATTCGCAAAGATCTGGAAAGAATCTTTAACTAATTTCCATTTTGGCTCGATATGTTTACCTATCAATACAAGGTCATTATTTTTGATATAGCGATTTCCTTTCTTACCTTTAAACATTCGCTGTAATTTACTACCCAGCATAAGATTAATAACCATATTTGTTTTTCCACTATGAGAGCCCCCACAAACTAGTAATCTGAATGGCCAATCGGGAGCATATTTGTTAGATTTCATTCGTTCTGAAGATTTGTTGGACATCTCGTCCAGTTGGTATATATATATGGGCATTTTTTCTTCATTCATCCCGATTACGCTAATATTAAATATTACATCGAAAAAATAATAATTAAGTTAGATAAGCATTTAAAGTTTTACCTTTATTCTATAAGACCCAGTTCTCGAAGGATATCAGGAATTACTTTATATGGGTCTTCATAATACCAAACATATCTTAACACGATCCAATTCTCTTCACAGAGTTCCTTTTTAATTTGATCTCGACATTGTTGATTGGTAAAATTTTTTATGTCTTCTCCATGAAAGAATTTGATATATTTTTCATGCTGTTGACCTTGCACTTCAATCGCGAAACCATAATGATAATAAGGAATATCAAGTTGCAATCCTGTAGGATATTCTGATGTTTTTAGGAAATCAGGTTTGCGATTTTTTGATGGTCCCCCTAAATATTTCGATACGATTTCGCGACATAGATTTTCACGTTTAAAACGTGAACATAGTGAACACCAATGCCCTCTTAGAATACTTTGTGGAGGGGCTTCCCATATATGAGATTTTTCACAACGCCAAAGAAGCTTTGTATGTGCATCATAATATCGTTCTGAAAGACAATCTCCATTATTTTTTTGCGCTAGAATCTTCATATCAAAAATAGTTCGATTTCGTCCACCACAAGTAGGACACCATTGGTAGTAGTCCTTTATCTTATTTAAATTCGTAGTCCATGTATGTCCCTTATCACATTTCCATTGTAAAGGAGCTTTATTATTTATATAATCTGAAGAAATGCATTCCCCATTCCTAGTACGTGCCAAAGCCTTTGCTGTCTCAATATTATGATAATTACATTCAGGACACCATGTATTTTTATTTTTTACAGGATCAAGACTTGCGAACCATTCATGACCTACAGCACATTGCCATAATAAAGCCTGACGGCCATTGATATATTTTTTGGAAAGACACTTACCATTTTTAACAGTCGCAATTTGATTAGCCTCTTCAAGAGTGAGCCGTTGATTACCTGCGCATTTTGGGCACCATGTATTAAGATGTTTTATACCATGTAGTTTTGCAGACCACTGATGACCTTTATTACATTTCCAGACTAAAGGGGTATAACTGTTAATATATTCTCGAGAAAGGCATTCACCACCCTTATTGATAGCGATTTGTTTAACGTCTTCAAGAGTATATCTGTGACCCACACAATAAGGACACCATGAATTAAGATTTTTAATACTATGAAATCTTGCATACCATTCATGCCCTTTAGAACAACGCCATAACAAAATTGATTTACTATTCTCAAATTTTTCGGAAAGACATTTTCCACCCCTACTATTAGCAATCTGTTTAGCATCCTCAAGTGTGAGACGATGATTGTATATGCATCGCGGGCACCATGTCCCACTATTTTTTATGCTAGCAAAGGAAGAAGACCATTCATGACCTATAGCACAGCGCCATAATAATGGTGAATTGCTATTTATATAGTTTTCAGAAAGACAGTCACCATTTCTATCATGTGCGATTTGTTTGGCCTCTTCGATTGAACGACGGCAATTGGGTGCACACTGTGGACATCATGAGTTTTTACGATTTATATTAGCAAGACGAGCAAACCATTCATGACCTACAATACAGCGCCATAATAAAGGTGAATGATCATTAATATACTTATCTGAAAGGCATAATCCTCCTCGCTCTATAGCAATATTGCAAGCAACTTCTAAGGATAATTTTGGAGTCATTTAGAACTGGTAATTAGTTTTTCTTCCTTAATAAGTATAATTTTCTCTTTAAAATGAGGTGATGCCCGATCAAAACCAAATCATCATTCTTAATATATCTCGTTCCACCTTTTTTCCCACTAAATAATCGATACATTTTATTTCCAAGTAAAAGGTTGATAACTTCGTTAGTTTTTCCTGATCTGGTTCGCCCGCTGACCAATAAATTGAAAGGCCATTGAGGGGTACTATTTAATGAGTTAAATCTTTCTGGATTTTTGTATTCATCAATATTTAAAACTATTCTCTCAACAGGGTCTAGCTTTTCTATTTTCATATCGATCAAGCTAAGTAATACTAATTATTGTTTTGTAGATATAAAGTATCTATATCGAATATATATCCTACAATTTCTTATTCTGATAAATTATCTGTATCTGATTCATTATTTATATCTGCCGGATTCCAGCCAGGAATAATAATATTAGGATTTCTACTTATTAAAGTATTAATGGCAACATCAGAGAGATAATGACAATCTTTAATATTAAGACCCCGCAAATTATGACACGAATGTGCTATTGCATAAATAGATGTATCAGTAATATCACAAGATTCGAGTTGAAGGCCTTCGATCTTAGTATTAGAGCAGAGTCGTGCTATTTCACAAATAGACTCATCAGATATAAGGTAACACCAAACAAGATTGAGATATTTAAGGTTCAGATTCGATTGCGCGATTTTTTTAACCGATATATCAGTAATCCCTTCACAATCTTCTAAGGTATATAATTGCATATTCGGACAAGCTGAAGAAATTGCACATATACCCTCATCTGTTATTTTTTGGCATCCGACTAAACTTAGAATGAGAAGTTTTGGGCATGATTCGGCAATCTGTTTTAATGATGCATCGGTAATATTACTTGACTGTAAACCAAGATATTCTAAGTGTGGGCAGTTTTGCGCAATCTTGATTATTATTAGGTCCTCTGGTCAGAGTTAAAGGAATAATTAACAGTCAGAGATATATAGACATTTTAAATGCACATTTAATAGA